AGTGCTTTGATGTTCCGGGGGATTACAGTACATGATGTTATTTTATTAAATTTTAAAGCCATCTTTATTAATTAGTAGGTGTTTGTTTGAATAGTACATTAGAAATATCATATAATTCGGGATGCGGGGGGGGGGGGGTCATTAAATAGTGCTTTGATGTTCCGGGGGACTACAGTACATGATGTTATTTTATTAAATTTTAAAGCCATCTTTATTAAGTAGTAGGTGTTTGTTTGGAAGGGAAATCATCAATGTGTGCTTCAGCCCGAATCTGATTTTATTCAAACTACGTCACTGAATGTTATGAGGATAGCAATTATTTTATTCTTAGAGCATGACACACACTTCAAGATTTTTGAAAAATAAAAAAAGAACATTCAAAGTGTATGAACTTTTTTTTTACAAAGGAATGGAGAGAATGGATTTAAAGTCGAAGCAAAAGTCATAGACGAGTGGAACAAGATGAAGGAAGACAGAGACTCCTTTAAAGAGCGGTTCCAGAAAGAATTTTGTGACGTAAATGAGACAGACATTTGGACACAGGGAAAAGGTAGACAAAAAATAAATTGTATTTGTAGCTTGTTTAAACAAAAATTGATTGGTGAGAGATAATGATTGAAAGAGTTGTGACCTCAGGGTGCCTAAGGGGGTTGGGTCCAACACTCAACGTTACGGTTAACAAAAAGAAGCAACTTTATCAACCGCAAGGCGTTACGATAATTTCATTGTTTAAGCAGCACTTACGCCATATGAGTGCACAAATACTGCATTATATTTGAATGTTCATTGGATTTTTAAATGAAATTTCATATTCTTCATAAACTCTTAGAAGCTTCGTTTCGATATTATTGCACCTGATAGGAAACACTTCCATTAGTCAAGCCATCGTGGAAGGTAGCCAGAGAAAGTTTGAAATTGTCCGATGTGGATTTGCAGATATATTCTGAAGAGAGATAAATCAGTGTGTTTGACCTTTGGTCAACGGGTTGCTTTAAGTTACAAAATACGGCTCTTTTTAAGGGTATTTTTTTTTGGTCTTTATCATTCTTCAATATCATCACTGAAAATTGTTCCGAAAGGTGAGTTAAAAAAGCAACCATATTTGAAAGCTTTGTTTACTCCCTATCTTATTGAATAATATATAAAGGACCGTGTTGAAGCTGTTTGAAGGACATAGTACAATAATGTATGTGGAAGCTGGATTCAAAAGACAGGACAATAAGAAAAGAACGTTTTGGCGAAGAGCTTTCGTCAGCAGACAAGGTGGATGAAAAAAAAAACGAAAAGAAAAAGAAACTAATTAAACAAACTTAAGTATATTTTATAAACGCCAACACATCATGACACATGCAAAACTACATCTAAGGTCCTCTATAAGTCAAACTATATCCAAGGTCCCCTTAAGTCAAACAATATCCCAGGGCCCGTCAAGTCAAACGATATCCTAGGTCCCCATTAAGTCAAACTATATCCCAGGGCCCGTCAAGTCAAACTATATCCTAGGTCCCCATTAAGTCAAACTATATCCCAGGGCCCGTCAAGTCAAACTATATCCTAGGTCCCCATTAAGTCAAACTATCTCCCAGGGCCCGTCAAGTCAAACTATGTCCCAGGTCCCCTTAAGTCAAACTATATCCCAGGGCCCGTCAAGTCAAACTATATCCTAGGTCCCCATTAAGTCAAACTATATCCTAGGTCCCCATTAAGTCAACCAATCCCCCAGGGCCCGTCAAGTCAAACTATGTCCCAGGTCCCCTTAAGTCAAACTATATCCCAGGGCCCGTCAAGTCAAACTATATCCTAGGTCCCCATTAAGTCAAACTATATCCGAGGGCCCCATTAAGTCAAACTATATCTTAGGGCCCCGTCAAGTCAAAGTATATCACAAGGCCCTGGCAAGGCAAACTTTATTCCAGGGCCCGTCAAATCAAACTTTATTTCAGGGCCTCAACAAGTCAAACTATATCCTAGGGCCCCATTAAGTGAAACTATATCCCAAGGCTTCATCAGGTCAAACTATATCCCAGGATCCCGACACGTCGTACTGTATACCAGCGCCCCAGTTCTGCCTCAAGCCAATAATTAAGCGTGAAATATGGTGAGCTTCATAAGTACAAAACAATGTACACGATGTTTTCATTGTGAAATCAATGATGATTTTTTTCTTCTTTATTAAATCCTTCTTAAATTTATCCCCCCCCCCCCCCCCTCTGATTTTATTATATTTATATTTTGTATTTTCTTGTCTGTCTTTTTAAGATAACAAAAAATAAAAATAAAAAGTAAAATCATTTCCTCTCCCCCCCCCCCCTCTGATTTTATTATATTTATATTTTGTATTTTCTTGTCTGTCTTTTTAAGATAACAAAAAATAAAAATAAAAAGTAAAATCTGTTTAAAAAAAAAAAGCAGATCTCAAGACTTTCACGAACGAGATTGGCATTGGTGTACATTTGTTTTATTATTCGTCCTTGCTCAGTTTTAAATACATAACACCCCATCGATCTCCCCCTCAGCCTTGTCATTTTTTTGCCCAAACAATTAACATTATTATTTCTTTAAATATTTTTTTTTACAAAAATGTAGGGAAAAAGAGCAAGTTGAGCTGGTGGATAGCCAGGCGCCATAACGCAACTAATGAAGAATTCAAAGAAAAGCTGTTTGGGATGTCATGTGATTTGGAAATTGCAGCTAAAGCCCTTAGTGAGTTAACCTCTGATTACAAAAACATACATAGCACATTCTTTATTCCCCGATACCAGCTCTCTGAATTAAAAGACTGTCTGGCTAGATACATGTCCGTTGTCAGAGGGATCCTTCATCACACCAAGTGTTACGTGTGATCAATTTAGCACACGTTCCTTCTGGGTGGATTTGTGCTTTGGCTTTTCTTAGAATCAATTGATGGCTTTTTATTTTTAAATTACATAATATATTTACAAAACTGTGTCAATGTTAAATTAAACCAATCGTCTCCATATGACCGATTTGTAACACTTGCAATGTGTTTGATTTTGACACTGCAACTATGATTATTTTAATCTACTATGTGTTGAGACAATGATTTTTGTATGTAATTATCATTATTGTTTTGTTCAAGTAATTGATAACAAGAATATACGTGCATATACCGAAGCCGCTCTTATGTTATTAGATAAGCTTGGATGTATACCTTTTTCAGTATTCAGAATATCAGGAATACATTTCTTATGTTAATGAGGTATTCATGTATCAAATTTGACCATGTAAAACGTCAATTATTTAAAAATTCGCGTCTATTTTTATAAAGTTCAGGGTGACTATGTTTGTCTGTAAAGGGGTCGATCAAATCAATACAAAACCAAACCATGTATTGCAACTAAATTAACTGATTTAGTCTTTTCACTTGACTTAAAAATGTTTCTTTGAATTATTGAATTCGCAAATGCTGTACTTTTTTTGCTGTTGTTTTTTTTTTTATATCGTGATTCTTCTTATACCGGAAACCCTCGGGCTCTGGTGTTTTAATGCAATGTGTTTTTTTACAACATATAGCATGTGCCTTTTTTTCTAATATTAACTTGATCATTACAAATTATAAGAAGAGAAACAGATTTAGACGTCAGCATTGCTATTAACAAACAAAAAAATAAAAATAAAAACCACTCAAAGGTTCAGGATTAATTGATGCCTTAAAGAAGTTCCAACAATTCTGATGGCAATCAAAGTAACACGGATGGTTGATGTATAGAGATAAAACTACTATCGCAAACAACTCAGTCTTATTACTTAATTGTGCTCTTTAATCTAAAAAAAATAAAATAAATCTATGTAGATTTCATTTGATGTAAGTAAATTGTATAGATTTAGATGAAATGTTTTTTTTTTCTCTTGAAAATAAGCCTTTTCTAATTACTTATAAGAGTGACAATGGCAGTTGCAGACTCGGTTGCCCATTTCATACGAAAACCTCCACTGAATGAAGTGGCTTTCCAACACAAATGACCTCCCATTCGACCAAATTTTCATCTTAGCCTCTCACAAGCGCATAATCAGAATTTTTTTAACTTGTATTTATATCTAGATTTTATTTTTATTTTTTTTTTTTTTGGTCCATCTACAACGCGTTAAGCAATTATTTTTTTTTCAATCCAATTATGATAAGTTGTTTGTATCAATGACCAAAACACTTCAAGTTTAATTCGTGACTACTCTGTTTTGTATTATCCCCCTTATCTTCTATTTGTTAAGTTTTTTATCTAGAAACATTTTTTCGTATAATTTTTTTGTTAACTGTAATTAATATCGTGATGACGTAATTAGAATACTAGTGGGTCTGGCGGGGTCAAGATGGTTTCAGTAGTGGCTTGATATGGACATGGCGTTTGGGGAAATACTAAGTTTCTGTGTTTTAAACGCATGGGATAATGATGATACAAGTCGAAGTTAGCTGACGAAAATGTTTTGAGTGGTGTGTGTAGGTGCGTGTTTAAGGTTTAACGCAGCTGGTTTAAGGTTTGTGAGATGTTACAGGATGTAACGGTGCGTAATTTTTTAATTTTTTTAAAAGAGGTTGACAGGGAGGGGGGGGGGTGTCAGCGTTGCACCATTCTGTCAGTTGATTGACTTCTAGATTAACCATAGTGTAATTTTCATAAATTAGAATGACATTTATTTATTTGTAATGTATGACATTTTAAATACAAACCTTTCGAACTAAATATACATAACTATAATAGAACTATTTATGAACTATTTTTAAAAAAAAATTAAGTATGTTAGCCGGATTGTTAAACTTTTAAATTTGTCTATACTTGTGTAGAGCTTTATATAAGGCTGCCCTAATTGAATCTTTGAACAATAAACTCTCAAACTCCAATCCGGATGTTATTGTTTGTTCTCTGTTTGTTTATTTTGTATGTCGTTGAATCGGAATGGCTGGCCACGGAAACACCTGCATACTTTGTGCCACCAAATTAACATGCCATCAACATTGCTCACGGTGTCACACGGCGCTGCCTGTACACATACCTTAGTGGAGGCTCTTACACGTGTCATCTGCTCAGGCTTTACAGTGGCTCGGTCGAGGATTAGAATTGCGTTTTCAGTTGTTGACAGTTGAATTTGAGAAGGAGAACAAGCAAAAGCAAATGCTAGCAACACGATTCCACTGTTAGAGGTTACTGAATTCTTTTGTGCAGAGGCAACGCTCGTGAGTTTTCTGACACCAGCTGAGTGGACTTGACGATACATTGAAACGACTTCAATACACCGACCGCGGCATCTGCTGGGGCATCGGGAAACGGTATGTTGTATGTTGAAATGTTGTTGTGCTTTTGTTTAGGAAACTGCTGTGTTTATTTTCAATGTGTTTTGTTTAAGATTAAAATGTTAAGGCCAAAAATTTTCACTTCCTCATGACAAGTTCTTACTTTGCTTTTTAGGTTTAACATATATAAATATATAAAATGCTAGATGGAGCACGCCCAAAATTGGCAACAGCAATGCGTTAACTTTCCATTTACTAAAGTTACTTGACAGAAACCTGAACTAAAAATGCCAATTTTGCTACACCCCTTCCCCCCCCCCCCATTTTTTTCATAATACGTCACTGCACACTTTTTATTTCAGCCCATGAACTATATTAATATTCTCATGTCCCAACCACTTTTAAACCGAACATTTTTGACACAATACTTAAATTGAGACGATTTCATTTCCGAAAAGGAAATATTACGCACCAAACACAATTGTGTTATTAAAAATATATATATATAATTTAGCATAGTTATCGGGAATTATATTTTGCGCGCTAGTGAACTCCTTTAACCATACTCTGACGTTTCTATATATAGCCTGCGTGGTGGTGTTTGACCTTTGCTGGCGAATTATATATATACAGATAGATAGATAAGATATAGCCCGCCAAACATTGTCGAGATCAATGTGTGAACTTCCCATCTACTATGTTACTTGAAAAAAACATGAACTCAAGTTACGCACCTTTAAGAATACAAACTTTTGCTACACCCCTTCCCCCATGATACGTCACTGCGCACTTTTTATTTCACTTCCATGCACTATATACAAAATTCTAATGTCCGAACCACTTTTAAAGCGACTATTTTTTACATTATACTTAAATTGACTTGATTTCATTTTCCGAAAAGAAAATATTACGCGCCAAACGCAGTTGCGTTACAAAAATAAATATAATATATATAATTTTGCGTATTTATAAGAATGATATTTTGCGTGTTATTGAACTTACTATTGAACCATAATTTTAAAAAAAAAATTAGAATTATGCCTAATATAATCTCAATACAAAATTCGCTGATTAGGAAGCAGTCCATTAGAAAGTATTCCACGAGTCATACTAGAACCGAAATATATATAAGATATATATATAATATATATATATATATATATACATATATATATATAATGGCAAACATTTAATGGTAATAGATAATATCATCGGTTATTTATGAATTAAGACATAATTTATACCTTATTTATGGCCAAATATTTAAAAACAAAAACATAGTACGTCGCAGACCATTCTCTTGTGTAATGGCGACAACGTCCACCTGTCACCAAGCTCAAAAGTTTGGGACTACTACTCTTAGAAATGTCACTTGACATTTAGAGGTAAGCGTAGTGTCTCATACCTAACATGTGTCATTATTTGCACCAAACGTGTTGCACGAGAACACACCTATTACAAACACATTATCTGGGTCAAGGTACTTGTCCAGCAAGCCCCCTGTAAAAGGTTATGTTTTTCATCTGCTGTTGAGAGATACACGCCAGCTTTGAAAGTTGATGTGATTGTAAATGTGTGTGGATACGGATGAATTCGTCTTATCGTGTAAGTTCATTGTCTGTTGGTATTTTAATCAGTAACACGAGGTCACGACTACAGATGATTAAAAAATAGAATGATGTGGGATATGGTTTTACTGTGGATGTATTGAACTTATGAAGTTTTCTTCACATTTAAAAAGAATAATAGAGGAATTTAAAAATGTGTTCCTCCTTATCTGTGAAGTTGTCCAACTAACATGGCGAACTGCGCCTGGGGTGGAAGGGGTCCTTCATTCGTGTCCGGGGTATACACCCGCCTAGGGCGTCATAATCTCCACACGGATAATGTGGACATTTCTCGGAAGCCAAGATGTTAGGGGCCAGGTGTTGGGAAACATGATAACAGCTGCCGCTAGAGGATCGTAGGTAACACTGGGGGATTATCGATGACGAAAGAGCATCCCCATCAAGGTTGGGTCTCCTGGGCAGCCGTTTTGTCTCCGACACCTATTGGTACTTGTGATTATGGTGTGCAAGTAAATATAATATAAAATATAAATATAATAACTTACAAACACAGCAGGATGCATCAAGACATTTTTTTTTTTTACCATGATGTAGAAATGGCAAGCGAAGATCCAACAAAGCTAAAGGAAAACTGGGAAATCGTTTCTTACTATTATGAACTTCTTTTGGAGATACTGCAACAGGTCTACACAAGGTACAGGGATACCAAAGGTGATTGTCATTAAATTGAATTAAATTGCATTTAAACAATTGTCTGCTTTATTGTTTCCCTTATTGATTGTTTCAAATAATAACAGCATGCGAACAAGTTGTTTGTTTTTTTTATAATATTTTTTTATAGCATCCCCAAAACTAAAATTAATGTGTGTATTTTCAAAGAGACAGTTGTAATATCCCAAAAGTAAGACAACAATCATAATTCTATTTTACATTTTGCGTGTTCATCAAATTATTGTTTTTCCATGCACATGCTCTATAAGAAACAGAAATGTTATCCTAATTCGCCCATTGGTATTTTGAAGAAATATTTTACCCTATTAATTTAAATCTATCCTTTAAACATTTAAATTTTCAAAAAAATATAAATATTGTTTCTTCTATTTCTTCTCCCAAAATCTTTACCCATATATAAAAACAAATTATAGTTATTGATGAAACGTCATATTAAAAATATTTATCAGATAAAAAAAAATTCTTTCCATTTTAGCTATTTATAATCTTTTTTTCCCTGCAAGAAATGGAAGTGTAAATGATATTTTCAAAAATTATGCATTTGATAATTTAACAGAAAAATTAAGACTCTTTTCAAAATAAGGAAAACAAATATAAATATATATATTTCAAATGTCAAACTTAATAAGTTATTTTAACATTTAAAAAAACAAAAACAAACAACCATCAATGAAAACTATTCTCCTGAGAAATTACACTTAAGCATCAGAATTTCTTATTAATTTCAATGTTACTACACACATGTAAGACCTGTTCTCTGTGTGCTCTCGTTGTCCTAGGTCGGTACCCAAATAAGAGATACCGTTTGTTTTTAAAGATCGCAAAGTCAGCACTGAACAACGATACGAAACTTCAGCTGTGGTCTCTAGGCACGCAGAATTTTCAACAAGATTTGACCAAGTTGTAAGTTTATCTCCATTTGTTTTCTGAATAAGTTGGCATTTACAGGCATTCCCCCGATTTATCGGGATTTCCCGTTTTAACTTGTTCCAATATATTATTTTATATATAACCTTTTTATCTTTGCATCCGTCGAATGATCAGATCAGCATATTATCAGTGTGATACAGAAATACATATGTAATGTCCCAGATTTACTATTAGGAACAAAAATAAACAAAAATTTAAAAAAAAATAACAATTATAAATTACACACACAAAATGTTTCTAATTATAAATTACACACACTATAATGTTTCTAATTATAAATTACGCACGCTATGATGTTTCTAATTATAAATTACACACATTATGATGTTTCTAATTATAAACTACACACACTATGATGTTGCTTCTTTTAAAATGCTTTATTTTGTTTTACATTACCTTTTGATACATTTGCCGATAAAATTACCGATCGTTTTAAAGATGTATTCCAAATGAAACTTTTGTAGGCCCACACACATACATCTGTTCGTCTAGTTTCAAACTATAAGATACATGTGTTTTTAAAACCGTTGCTCAACAGAGATGGGGTTAACGGTGTGATGGTCAAGACCCAAGTCCTTGCAGCTTGGGGTAAGATGAAAGAAGTGGAGATAAAATCATTGCAGAGCAAGGACAAGAAATCCAGGAGCTACTTTAAAAGCAAGAAAGGTAAAATATGGGTTCCACGCTGCTTTACCTTACCGTGGTATGAAGTGTAATAGTAATTTAAAAAAAAAACAGTTACTTAGTCATCAAATATGTGCACATATAAATACACGCAAACAGCCATATGATTTAGAGGTCAGGAATTATGTGGTCTGACCCGGGCATCAGATTATTTTAAAAATATTTAAGGCGCATTTCTCAGGCAACTGCTTGTGTGTTGTGTTGTGTTGTTTTGTTTTGTTCGTTTGTTTGGTTGTTGTTTTATTTATTTTTTTGGTGGTAGAGGAGCGATGGATGGATTTCGTGGGGTGAAGATCGGGGGGAGGGTGTGGTGTTCATGGTAGTAAGGAGGGGCCGGTAAAAACCTGTAGCGACACACGACCTAGTTACGCCTCGAAATTAAATTAACACAATAATTCTCAATTTGGTCTATTCTTTTAGACGCGTAGGAACGCTGCTATACTCAGTCATACAATGATGATGTTTAAGCATTTTGTAGCAAAATATCCACATTTTACAGTACGGGAAAACATTTCAACATGATGTTGTGATACTAAAAACTACAATAACATAGTTATATTGTGTCGAAATATGCAACAACATAAAGCTTATTATTTAAAATATAAATCCAATTATTATTTGTTATTTACTTTTTTTATGATAACAATATTTTCAATAAGCTCAACAATGCATGTAGATTGATGCATATATTTTTTAGGTGTTTCATCAATTCTATTTGTTTTTAAAATATCTTTTTAGGTGAAAATCAGATGCAAACAAGGGAGGGCAAAAAAACCAACGAACAGTTATCTTACGAGTTACGCGACATGTCGATGGACTTGGCAAGGAGCAATGCAGCTCTGGTCAAACTAAGACGAGCATATGACAGGGCTGAGACCGAATTCCCACTGTTCAACTATTTCCGTCTGAAAAGACGTGTTAAAGCTTTGTATGCCGTGTACTGTGAAAACCAAGATGCAGTAAATTACTGAGTTGAAATCGAGTTAAAACCTAAATGAAAAGTACAATTGAAAGATAAGTTCCAGAATATCTTTATATTAACAAAAATACATCTTTTTCTATAGATCTAGAATTCAAGGTCTATTTAACATTAAAAGGACCTTAGGCCATAACGTTTCAAAATGAACACTTTTTGGTATATGTTTCAAGTGGGATTATGTGTGATTTCACTTGATATGGCTTAGAGGTATTTTATTTTTTTTAAATGAAATACAAATATTATTTTTTTATCCGATTGTTTTGTATGTGTATGTATTTAATTTTTTTTTAAAATGTTCAATACATCTTAAAAATCAAAACATAAACGAATCGGGGGCTCAATCTAACAAACAGTATTATTACTTACATTTAATTTCTACTATTTTGTGGTACTGTTTTTTTTCTATTTACATAATTTGTATGATCTAAAACACACACAGTACATCCTAACATCTATTTTATGTATATATGGATTTGATTTTATGATTAGACATTATGAGTGTTCATCTTTTCATTTACATTTTATGTAACAAAATGAATAAATTGAATCGTATGACAGAATGATACACTTCAGAATTTAAATCAACAATATCATTTTGTTTACTATACATTTCAGTGGCATTTGTTTTGAGTGCTTACATGATTGTAAAAAGCAATAACACGGCACATGCTTATTCATTTTAATCGTTTAAGACTTTTTTTTATCTTGTATAATATTACTAACTTGCCTCTAAAAATATTACTTTACTTCAAACGCTTTTATGTAACTTGATATTTATTCACAATGTGCCATCTTGTTTATTCAAAATCGTTTTGAAAACTTTTTCGGCCAGTGTCGATTCAAACATTTAATTATTTAGGTTATTTCAGCCCTAATTTTAAAATCGATATTTGTGTTGAACTACTTAGTTTTTGCAATTGTTTATTTTTTGTGGTAATATTCGGCAATATATTTATTTCTCATAATTTTTGGAGATTTCATCCCAATATTATTTTAAGGTTAATGCAAATATAAAATGGATCTACACATTTTAACAACTTGTTCAGCTTATCTGTAATGTGATCTATTACGACTAAATAAAAACAGGAACACTCCTAAATGGCGTGCCATCAGTATCTAGTACAAGGAGAGGCCTTTCATTATGTCTCTTTTGCAAAAATCATTGTTGATGGCTGTGATTTCTTTTTTTTTTTTTCTTTTTTTTTTTTTTTTAAATTTTTTTTTTGGTTTTTTTTTTTTTTTTTTTTTTTTTTTTTTTTTTTTTTTTTAAATTTCCGCTTGGTATGTAATTTAAAAAAAGAAATGCGTTACGTTTTTTTATTATAATCCAGTGACATAATACTAGTGACACTAACGTAACTTTAACATTTCATTAAGCACGTTCAAACTATAAATTAACATCATGCTAAAACCCTTAAATAAATGTTTAAAATTCCTACTTTTTATCGGTCAACGAAAGTCAGAGAAACAATTTATTACTTTTTTTTTAAATTTCTATAACAAAGACACACCTTTGCTTTAAAATACTTTAAAAAAAAAAAATTATCAAATTATCTTGTTTTTTTTTTTTTTATTTTTATCGGTCAACCAAAGTCAAAGAAACAATTTATTACTTTTTTTTTAAATTTCTATAACAAAGACACACCTTTGCTTTAAAATACTTTAAAAAAAAAAAATTATCAAATTATCCTGTTTTTTTTTTTTTTAAATAGGCAACCCGAGACAAATGCATTATAACTCAAGCTTCCTCTTTTTATCACGCACAACTAATTTAGATCACATGTCATTCAACATTATCATTCTTTTTTTTTATTCAATAGATCTCATTAATGACTGAATTATTAGTAGTAATTGTGTTTTCAAAAATGAGTATTAACTGAACATTTCTTAAAGCAAATTTTATATTTAAGCAATACATTCCAATACAGTTTAAATTCCACATTGGTCTTTTTTTAATATTGACTGTTCAATGTTGCACTTTTCTATCCTAGTATACATAGTTTTTCTTCCATTATGACAACGACAAAAATTTGAGAGCCTGGTGCACATGGTTGAATTGAACTAGTAAATTATATTTTCTTAACAGACCTCCGACACATGTCTGTAAGGGAAGAAAGTTCTAAATATAAACACTGCTTTATATTTATGGTTTTAATTAAATATCGAAAATACGCACATTTTCTCATAGGGTAAAAAAATAAAAACAAGATGCCGTCGTCTAATGGATACACAATAATGATACAATAGACTATTATATAGATTTTCCCTATCTGTGGGTCATGGGTGAAGCTATGTGCTATCTGATTTGTGTCTTTCTTTGTCAAGAATGTAAATAAAAGTATTAAATTAAACAGAGGAGGTTGTGATACTTCAAAATAAAATGACAAAATCACTTGTTTGTGTTTGGTATTTGATATCGATGTGGTGTTTTATGTTACGCATGTTTTGTCACCTTAAAAGTCGTACTACTGTGACCAAAGCCATAATAATAATAATAATAACAAGAATAATAATAATGCAAAAGGGTTGACACATCTATGACTTTTGTTGATGAACTCTCACCACCCGGTAATGCTGCTAGGTCTGAACAGGAAAACGGCGTTGGACACAGTGTGCTGATGTCGCGGTCAACATGACGTGTGAGCTCGATTAGTGAGGTGTCGACATGTCCCCTTGAAAGCCACAAAGCAAACTGAACTGTATACGCTTTGGCCCTTAGCTGGTTCTATGTCTTGGGTAGCAGGTTGTTTCTCACACCCTTAGCTGGTTCTATGTCTTGGGTAGCAGGTTGTTTCTCACACCCTTAGCTGGTTCTATGTCTTGGGTAGCAGGTTGTTTCTCACACCCTTAGCTGGTTCTATGTCTTGGGTAGCAGGTTGTTTCTCACACCCTTAGCTGGTTCTATGTCTTGGGTAGCAGGTTGTTTCTCACACCCTTAGCTGGTTCTATGTCTTGGGTAGCAGGTTGTTTCTCACACATTCATGTGACTTAAAACCCTGTGACCTCTCCCAGAAAGGGTGATGACAAATACAGCATGCATTGATTGTTCACAGTACAATCCATTTATGACTCAGAGCTCAAATGTTTCCCAAGACAATGGAGGACTGAAAGCCTCTCTGTCCTAATAATCTGTATTTCGCACCACCCCCGCCACCTTTTTTCCCCAACTTTTTTTTTCTACCACGCTTTTTTCTTTTTATTCTGTTCCAAGTAATGCTTAGGTGGTTCTTTTGATTTCTCTGTGTGTTTTTAGCAATGTTGTATGTGTCTCTCTTTATTTGTGCTTCTTGTCGCTGGGCTGCAATGGTCCACCGAGTCATCAGGAAAACTCCCTGTAAGCCGGTCAGATTTGGGCACACAGTGGTGGTTTGGTCACCTGGGGCGCTCATGTGGGTACTATTTGGGCCACTTGGGATACGTGCGGCGCTTATAACAGTGTTTAAAAGTCGTTATTTAAAGATTATTTTCAATAACAATAAGATGTGTCACAAAAACATTTTATGAGCATTTAATAATATTTCTTATTGTACATCCTGAATAGAAAGTATTTTCTGTATCATTTTCATGAACAACTTTTGTGAATGTAACTTTTAATATATGAATATTGTGTCTGCAATGCTAAAGACCCAGGGTGGGGATCAGGGGGTGTCACCAATTATGTAAATGATGTTTTTGTCAACGATTAAGATTAAATAGTGTCACCCAGAAAAAGAACTTTGCCGATATTTAACGCTTTGTTAGTAGAGAGCCTCAAGGAATGCATACATGATTATATGTGGGCGAAAGGTCTAAACTCTAAACGAATGGTCTAAGCGAACGGTCTAAACTGTCTCAAGCCTTACCGCTGGTGGTCTGAAGTTCATTCCCCTCTAAGGCTACCATCCCAAGAATTCTGGGTGGATGGAACTCGTTAGCCCTGGACGGCAACTCAACCAGAGGAAGGCAATTTCTGTATTCATACCACGAGTCAAAATAATCAATACATTGATTGTGGGACCTGAACTATTTAGTAAAGAAAACCCAAAGTTGGATACGCATGACGCATGAAGAGGATTACAAAATTTCAGTTTCTTAAGACCAGCCCATATGCAACTGTCTGGCTCTCACTGACCTTTGTCCTCCACTCAATTGCCGCACAAGTGATATTCATTTTAACCTGAATTACATTCTACATCGTCTGTGAATCTCTTTATCTTCTTGACATCCATGAATATGTGGGTAGAATCTGATGGTTCAAGACAGGGGTCTTTTGGCAAACTTTTTTGAAAAGGAATTCCAATATAGTGTATATCTGTTAGACATTTTGGAGCCGTAGTCGGGGCGTATTGTAGGTCTTTACATGTCGGCACATCGGGGTATTGTATGTCTTTACATGTCGGCACATCGGGGTGTTGTATGTCTTTACATGTCGGCACATCGGGGTGTTGTATGTCTTTACATGTCAGCACATCGGGGTGTTGTATGTCTTTACATGTCGGCACATCGGGGTGTTGTATGTCCTAACATGTCGGCACATATTGAAACAGTTATAACAATACCCCTTGTAACATTTTATATTTCTTTTTAATACTTTACAATATTATAGCAGTATTTTTTTCCTCTTGACAGCTTAAATGTTAAACAATTATTACAATCGATGATTTGTATAATCTAAGACTAACATTTGCTTTTGAGATTAAAAGCGAAAAACAAATAAAATAAAAGTAAAGAACAAAAAGCACAAAAAGCGCTGAGAACTGAAAAGCGACCCATGAGGCTTCAAGCGTGTTCACAAGAGAACTGAGTAGCGAACCATAAAGCTTTAAGCGTGTTCACAATCAAACATCGAGACGACCACTTGTCTTCCTTTTGGAGTTCAACAAATTTTTGCAAGAGTTGCTTCTACAACATCATCATTTTGTTGGGTTTAGGAGTGATCAATCAATTTTAGAACACTAAATGCTTGAATGTGAATATTTCGACTGATTGTAAACTGACTTCTCATTCTTTCATTTGCTATGACTGACCGACTGTCCGATTATTAAATGAATTGTGACCTTTGCAGAAACTAACCCCACTGACCCCCCTGACCCCCCCCCTCTCTAAAAACAGTATTGGATATTCGCGCCTTGATTTCAGTCCCGAGCTACTTGCAATCTCTAGCCAACTACTCCCGAGATGTGGAGTCCAAAGTCCATGGTATGGCTAGATTTTTTTATTTTTTTTCTATTTTTTTGTTTTTTTTTTGTTTGAGAAAGCAATCTTAAAGGTAATGCTGTCACAAAGGGAGGTAATAAAGACATTTCTATTTAAAATATAATCTTGATTATGTTCCCCTGCAGCAATACAAGTAATATTTTCATTGCTCCATCTCAAAAGTTGAGGTTGGTGGCAAGCACGCCAGCCTAGCGAAGGTGTGTTAATTCGTTTATGTTCAAAAGTCAAGGATGATTACAAGGAGGGTAATATTTAAAAAGGGGTGGGGGTTGGGCGAAACGGCGAACGGCCAGGGCCGTATGTTCAGACGATGCAAAATCATTTTTATTTCATTCAAAATAATTTTTTTTAAGTAAATAAATTTGAGGGGGAGGGGGAAAAGAGGACATCTTAAGTAATGCTTGGCCAAGGGGTTAGCTTTCGCTTACCACGGCCCAGAATACAAAAACAAAAGAGTTTAGATAAGCCGTGTAAGCCTAAAAAAAAAAGTTCAATACTACGCTCCTGCATTATAATAATTATTGTTTCTTTTAAAATGAAATATATTGCGACTATGCAACTACATATTAAAACGTCGAAGAAATAATCAGCAGATTTTGTTGTTGTTGTTTTTTTTAATCACCACACTCAAGACATGAAGACACAGCGACACCGTGAGTGAGTGTTAGTCACGTAACAAGCCCACGGTGCGTTGGATAGGGTCAGAAAAAGTTATGATGATGTGTAGTAATCAAAGCACCATGTCATTTTGAAAAGAACAAGCCTACTTCATTTACTTTAAATACAAGGGACTCTCCGAGAAACATGGGTTTGTAACAATGATGTTTCAATTTGTATTTCTTCCTTTTTTTTGTATGTGAAAGTAAAATATAAGTAAAAAAAAACATTTTTTAAATATTTCCCACGAATGTTTATTGTCAACTTTTTTACACATTGAAATATTTACGAAACTCAGTATATTGACTATACTGGATCAGTTCTGAATT